AGTGGTAACCAGGGGTGAGGGGAGAGAAGAGACTGACATGCTGAAGATCTCCTAATGAGAGATCTCAAGGGTGATGAAACTGCATGAATCTGTTCATACGCACATAGAAGTGTGCGCTAAAAGAAAAAAAAAAAAAAAAAACAGGCAGTTTTACTATATGATGGCGCTTCAAATTAAAATAAAATGAAACTTACTCAAAATTGTTAATATTTTTATGTATTTTCTTCCATGTATATCATTTTGAATGCAATTACAGAAAGGCAAGCTCCTAAAATTAAAGATGACCTCAATGAAGTGGATGGAGTAAAGGCTCCGGGACCATAGAGACACTATTATGGTGCCAACTGGCTGGAAATACCTTTCAGGGTTGGGGAATATTGTCAAAGATGCTGTATATGCTCTGGACAGACAGTCTATATAAAGTGCTTCTTCTCCACTAGCCAAGATTCAATGGTCCAGGAACCAAATGGTGGAAATGGGAGTGGCATCACTCACTATTATTCCTAGTGATCCACTGCAAATTTCTGTTTCCTGCCCCTGTGACACTATGCTCTTCTGGTCTGGGCATTATAGTTCCAAAGGAAAGAATAATTCCACCTGAAGACACAACACTGATTACATTGAACTGGAAGTTAAGAATGTCCCTAGGCCTCTTTGTGCTTCTCATGCCTCTTGATCAACAGACATAGAAGGGAGTTACTGTGTTGTGTGGTATGATTGATCCTAATTGTTGTTGTTATGTGCCCTCAAGTTGGCTCCAACTCATTGAGATCCTGTTTACAAAACACTGCTCTGTTTTGCCCCAAACTAACAATCATTGTCATGCTGGAGCCCATTGATGCTATCACTGTGCCAATCCATCTTGTTAAGAGCCTTACATTTTTCTGATGACCACCCACCTTACTCAGCATGATATCCTGCTCCAAGGATTGGCCACTTCTATCAACATATATGAAATATGAGAGAGAAGTATCACCATCCTAATTCCTATGGAGCATTCTGGTTGAACATCTTCCAATATAGATAGTTTGTTCTTCTGGAAAATCATGGCAATTTCAATATTCTTCAAAACACCATAAAAAAATGCAGCAATTCTAGTCTTCCATATTGATTGTCCATCTTTCATATGTATATGAGGTTATTGACAATACCATGACTTGGGTCAGGTACATCTTAGTCCTCAAACTGACATCTTTTTTCTTAAACACTTTAAGGAGATCATGTGCAGCACACATGCTTAACGCACTACATATTCTGATCTCTTGACAGATGCTTCCATAAGTGTTGATAGTAGATCTAAGCAAGTTGAAGTCTTTGACAATTTCAAAATATTCTCCATTTACCATCATGTTATTTGTTAGTCTGGTGTTTAGGATTTTTGTTTACTTTACATTGAAAACTAATGACTGCTCTTTGATCTGCTGAAGGTTATGGTCTTTGATTTACATGAATCAATATTTTAAGCCCTCTTCATTTTCAACAAGGAAGATTGTATCCTCTACATATGACAGGTTGCTAATGTATCTTCTTCTTATCCTGAGACCACATTCTTCTGGATTATGATCCAGCTTCTGGAAATATTTGATCATTAAACAGTTTGAATAAATATGGTGAAAGAATACAACTCTTGTGTACACCTTTTCTGATTTTAAACCAGTCAGTGTCCCTGGTGTTGTGCTGTTGGTTAATGCGCTGGACTGGAAAGTTGGTTTGAACCCCAAAGTAAGTCGGTGGTTTGAGCTTACCAGCCACTCTTTGGAAACCCTCCATCGGGTCACTATGGGTTGCATCTTACGCTATAACATTACCAAAAACAATATCCTTTTGTTCTGTTCAAACCACTTTCTCTTGGTTTATATGCAGGTTCCTCATGAGCAAAATTAAGTGTTCTGGAATACACATTCTTCATAATGTTATCTGTAACGTGCCATGATCTAACAGCCAAAATATTGTGCAATGTTTCTAATGCACAGGTAAACAGCTGTCACATTTTCTCTTCTTTCAGCCAAGATCCATCTGACATCATCAATGATATGCCTAACTCCACCTTGTATGAATGTGACTTGAAATTCTGGCATTACTCTGCCAATTTACTGTGGCAGTCACTTTTGAGTTATCTTTGTAAGAAGAAACATGATTAACATTACCTAATGGAGATCAGGAAGAATATTGTGGAATCGAGAAGATTCCTTATGACTTAAGTGACTAAAGTCAATGGCAAGCAAAGCAACCCAATTCAACATGACTTCTAATAGCCAGGTACTTCAACAATGGATGGTTTGTTCACACAGCAAGGTAAAGGACCATGAA